CCCCCCCCCCCCCCCCCCCCAACCATCACAGGGCCGCCTGCAGCGTTGCCCGGGCACGCACAGCCTTGAACTAATCCGGAAAAAGCGGGCTGTAACCCAGACCCAAGTCCCAAGCGAAACTAGCGAGGGCTCTATGGAAGCGGCTCTTTCTTCCGTAGTTTCGGGCATACAGTCAATCTTTCGTTGAGCTTTGGGCTCGAATGGTTGGAGTCTTGGACCTAGGACATATAAGCCGGCCGGGAAGTCGCTGTGGTCCTCATGCCGCTCAAACTCAAGTGTAGAGACGGTCAGCAGGAATGATCTGCAATACATGTTCCAGCTTTCTGCTTTGTACCTTAGATGCCTTAGATGGAGACCACAAAGCCTCAGGAGTGAACGAATCGCTCTGGCGCTGCGGGTGGCGGCGTGTTCTCCTGTCACAACATGCCCGATGCCGTCAAGGCTGTTACTGCCTTTAGGGTTTGGGTTTTCAGGTTTCAATCTTCAAGGTTTCAGGGCGGAGGGTTGCCAGGTGTGGGAATGTGCCATGCCTTCAGCCGGCACGTGACATGAAAGTCAGGACATCCTGCTCGACAGTTGTTAGCCGATCTAGGGTGCCCAAATTACTGGACAGTCTTGTTCCATGCTAGCAACATAGGCTTCGGCGCTTTGTTGTGACTGGTCGCAGCATACATGACCCCACTTCCTAGGCCTCATTCAAGGCACATGAATGGTTCAGAATAGACTTTGGGTCGCCTCCTTTGATGTCGGCAGCCGGAGCTCATCTGGTTACGAGTTGCCGCAGCGTAACTCTTCACCAACTAATCACTAACAATCAACATCACCTGTGAATGGACCGTTCAGGGTTCAATCTTTTTTGGTTTCGGGTCTACGGTTAGGGCGTAGAGTTTGCCGTTCAGGATTTATGGTATCGCCAAGCTCCTAAACCCTAAACCCTAAACCCTGAGCAGTAGAGGACACGGTCTATAAACCAAGCCCTGCACCCTCCATTCTAAAGGCGCAAGCGCACCCTATGTAGGAGCCTTAGTAATTGGAATAGGGTTTTAGGGGTTCCGTATTGTAATTAAAGTATAATATACCCTAAACCCCATTCTTTTAAGGCCAGTAGAATAACCCTGAAGCAACAGCGCCCTATGCCATAATCATCCCAAAAACCCCTCGAACCTAACTTACCTATAGCCACCATTGTAGTTCCTTTTTGGGGTTACCTTTTATTAGAACCCTTAATATATAATTGGTTAAACCAAAAAAAGGAACTACAATGGAGACTACAGGTACTCCGTAAACAGCAACTGCCAGAATCCTTGGCAGAGGCCGGAGCTTCTCTCGCCGGTGCCGGCGCAGGAACTGGAGCTTGGAATGCTTGATTGGCAGTTCCCGAGACCATGAAGCCTATAACTCCCAAGCCCGAATGCCAGCGGCCCAAATAAGCTAGAAGAGGGTTTTGGGGGGTCTACGGTTTAGGGTTTAGAAATTTAGGGCTTAACGTCCAGATTTTGGTTTGGGGTTGATCTGGGAGTTTCAACGTCGGCGAAGGAACGAGACAAGACTTTCAGAGGGGCTTTCAGTTGCAAGAGTACTAGGAGCTGTGGCATCGATGCAAACCTTGCCAGGCCGAGGATCGGGCATGGGGTCTCGCTTTGGACGTGTCGGGGTCTTGAACTACCTGTAGTCTCCATTGTAGTTCCTTTTTGGGGTCACCTTATAGGATCCTAATTACTAAATTGGTTAACCCCAAAAAAGGAACTACAATGGAGACTATAGGTAGGGTGCCTGGGCTCAGAACCCCACGCCCTTACTTATGCCTTCAAGCTGAGGCAAATACACCGAAAGCCCTGTCCCGAAGCCCATGTGCTTGGACTTGGTCTAAAGCCTCATGTCGCTGCCAGTGAGGCTTGTGTTAAGTCTTGAGGGTTCACGTTCTCTGAAGATGTAAAGATGATAAGTTTTACGGTCTAGTGACTCTGTTTTTTGTTGAAGCTCCAACACAATGCTCTCGTTCGCGCGGACAGGATCGAGAGCAGTTTCGTAAACAGAGTGCCGCTATCGTGGACATAATCAATATGCATAATTAGGTTTTACAGGATCAACAAACCCTTCGTACGAAAAGCCACACCCTCAACCTTGAAGGTCGTCAAGTGGTAAAGATGCACTATCACTTTGTTGAGTACAGTCCTAAACACTTTAAGCCCTGCAAAAACCAACCCTTAACCCCTTAAACCCTGAACCCTAAGCCCTGAACCCTAAACCCTACTACACCCTAAACCCCCTAAATTCGTGCCTGCAGCTTTTTGCGCCTCAGGAGCCACTCGCTTGCGCAAACCCTCCTCCTGGGATGGCTGGGCTCAGCGTTCTGGGTTTCACGGTACTATGTTAGGGCTCGGGGGTTTAGGGGGGTTTAGGGTTTAGGGTTCAGGGGTTCAGGGTTTACGGCTCAGGGTTTATAGGGTTTACCTGCAGTCTCCATTGTAGTTCCTTCTTGGGGTTGCCTTATAGGATCCTAATTATAAAACTGGTTAACCCAAAAAAAGGAACTACAATGGAGACTATAGGTAAGCGCTTCTCCTTCGGGGCCAACTTTCCGATCATTAGGATTTCGGAATCAGGATGGCCCTAAGCACTAAACTCCTAAACCCCTTAACCCCGAAGCCCTAAACCCCCCCAAAGCCTAAACTCTAAACCCCCACACCCAAAACCCCTAAACCCTAAACCCCCAAAACCCCCAAACCCTAAACCCCCAAAACCCCCAAACCCTAAACCCCCAAAACCCCCAAACCCAAACCCCCCAAGATCCCCAAGTCCCCCAAGCCCTGAGCCCTGAAGGCTCCTCCATCTTCGGCTTTGGCTTCTCTGCCACGGCCGGCTTCTCCACAGGAGGGGCGGCCTAAAGTCTCTTTCGGGACCCCTGGGCCTGCCTGGGCTTAAGAGTTGAGGGTTTTAGGGCTTAGGGCTTTTAGAGTTTAGGGTGTTTGGTGTTTAGGGTTTAGGGCTTTAGGGTTAACTGTTTTGGGGTTTAGGGCTTTTGGAGTTTAGGGTTTAGGGTTTATAGAGTTTGGGGTTTAGGGCTTAGGGTGTAGGATTCATGGTTTTAGGGTTGAGGGGTTTTGGGATTTAGGCTTTAGTATTTAGAGTTTGGGGTTTAGGGTTCATAGGGGTCAATGGGTGAAAAGCAGAAGCGGGCGAAGCTCTGGTCCGGCTGTGGGGCTTGAAAGAACGACGATACTCAGAGGGAAATGCCTCAGATGAGGAAATGCAAAAGCCTGGGAGAAACGAATGTCTTCAAACCTTGTCATCAAGCTGCGCCCTGATATGAGTCTGTACTGCTGGACGTTCAACCCAATAAGGAACTACGATGGAGACTGTAGGTAACTTTTCCATGTACCTCAAACATCGTTTTCCCAACACTACGCACGCGGTGTAATACACGCGTTGTTGAGCTCGGGGTTTCCTTTCCGCGTTATCGATGAGCATTGTCCAAGGTGCTGCCCGCTGTGCAGTGCCTTGCTGGCTGTGACAGTGCCCTGTGCGACGCTTTTCCAATCTAACTGCTCTGAATCTACAAGCTTTATAAGCTGATACAAGGTCCGAGAGCGAGTCGAGACTCGAGACTCGGGGTAGATCACTGCACAGATCCGAATAGAACTGGCCTCCGGCGTCTTCGCCGTCGCTGTGGTATCAGTAGCAGGAGCCTCGGGAGCAGACAGCGAAACTCGACTCATGTATGTCGGGACTGCATAATGAACACCTGAACACGGACCCATGCCTCCGCTGCAGCGGGTGTCGTGGCCACAGGCTGCTGGCTGGTCATGGACGCCTGGCGAGTCAGCGTGGTCAAAGCAGAAACCAGGGCAAACAAAGCTCTCGCTGTCTCTCTCTCTCTCTCTCTCAGCGCTTCCCCCTTTTATTAAGCACCCCCTACTGAGAAAAACACATTGGGGCGAATCCTCCCGAAATCATCCCTGGCATTTAAAACCTGTTCTGAATTAGGGGGCGGGTTTCGAGGCTCGAAATACCCGTAAAGTAAAAGCAAGAGCAAGAGCAAAAGCAAGAGCAAGGCCGCCAAAGTTTGGCAATTAAGCGTTAGATTGAAGGTGTGAGTACATCCTGTCTAGAAGCGGCAGGGTTGAGGACTTGACTTGCTCAGCTTCTGATGGAGCGTTGGAGCTTCCGGAGATTGGCCATTCAGACCGTTTCACAGCATCCCCATCCCGAATTATGGCAGGCATCTGAGAAAATACCACTGCCGTGAACTGAAGAGTCTTGGACGGACAAGCGGGAAGCGACAATGAATTACCCGACCACATTGCTACCTGTGTTGCGGCTGTTCCTGCTGTTCTGAGTCTGCTTCCCCGAATTTCGGAACCCTGAACCCTAAACCCGTAAAAAATCTAAACCCTGAGCCCTAACCCTAAAGCCTAAACCCTCAACCCTAACCCCGAAACCCCAGACCGCTACACCCCAAAGCCCATGATCTCAAGCACTGAAGTTAAGACAAGATCGACAGCCCTAAACATGGGTAGTTCTCTAGATTAGGGTTCCTTTGGGGGCCGTTTTTTTTTTTATCAGGGTGCCGTACTATATGGGGACCTAAACAGGGACCCCAATTTAGAGAAGTACCGAAATCCAGATCCAAAGCCCTCAAACAACGAAGCCGCTACACTACGCTTCCTGAAGCCTCCATGACGAAACTCATCTTAATCTTAGTACAAAACATACCCAAGGCTGCCCTATACTATAGGAGCCTTAATACTTAGAAGAGGGTTTTTGGGGAATACTGGTCATTACTTACACCCCCCGCCCCCCTGCTCCCATACTTACTGCCAGTCTTCTCTGTTTTGAGCTTTTGCTCTTCGGCGCTGCCTCCAGAGCTTCGAGACGCTTTCGCCGCAGCTCCTCTAAAGTCTAAGGCTGGAACTATGGGCCCCTAACATGGTTTAGGGTTTCGGGTTTACGGTTTACGGTTTCGGGTTTAGGGTTTAGGGTTTAGGGTTTTGGGTTTCGGGTTTCGGGTTTAGGGTTTCGGGCTTAGTGTTCAGGGTTTAGGGGCCTTTAGGGCTATTCTAGAGACCCTTACGCGTACCATACAGGGTATATATAGTAAGTCCATAAGGCTCCGGGGTAAGGGCCCATACTAGGGGCCCATGGTTTCAACCCTTTTCTCTAAAGTTGAGAGCAGAGGCATCAAAGTCCAAGCAGTTTTGGTTTCAGTTTAGGGTTGAGGGTTTAGGGTTGAGGGTCTAGGGGCTTTGGGTTGAGGGTTTGGGGTTTAGGATTCAGGGGCTTAGGGTTGAGGGTTTAAGGGTTAAGGGTTTAGGGTTTAGGGTTGAGGGTTCGGGGGTTTAGGG